GTCCTTCTTGGATTGATTCTTATCAGGACCTCAATCAAGCAAGACATGAGCCTGTGACCCCTGCACCCTGCTCCGTCAGGAAGACAGGCATGCCATCTAGGACTGAACTGGCCTTTGTCCTTTTCTACATCCTCAACATAGGAAAAGGAAAACAGCATTCCATAAGGCTAGCTTTGGAGGGAGAAAGGGGAATGCCAAATGTTCCAGTCACACTTATCCATATCAGTCTTCTGAGTCCCAACACCAACATCGGGCAAGTGTTGTGTTCACTGGAACACAGGGTACCTTCCAAAGCCTGTGATACAGCAATAATATTGGCCATCACCTTGACTCCTGGCCTTTCTTTTCTGAGGAAATTCCATTTATGTCACAATGGAAACTCACAATTTCCAAACTTTTACACTATACAAATGTATCACAGGTCACCCCATCATCTCTTCCACCAGGTCCATTTGAGAGAACCAATCTAGCCTGTGGTCTCTCATGGCCAAGGTGAAGGAAAGCAAGCAGCAGAGAGAAAAGATGAGATTGTTGTGGAGTTATCCCTAGATGTCCTGGATCTTTTGTTCTTTCCAGTAAGAGCCCTACTCCTGAACACCGGAGAATTTACCCTGCAACCCTTTCCTAATATCACTGATTCTCTGTCCTCTGCAATCAATAGGACCAGGGTTGGAATCAGGCTGGCCTTAAACTCAGAGATCTGCCTGCCTCTGTCTATTCCATAGAGATGAGACATAACCACCCAGCAATGAAGCTATTATTTTTCCTTTCAACACATAAACCAGGAAGTCGGCTTCCTTCACTCTCATAACCAGTATCTTTGTTTCAGCTTAACAAAGCAAAAATGTCCGAGGCATCAATGGCAGAGATGCTGTGTCAGCAAGGGGTTTGGAAGAATGAAACCAACAGGACTTGAGGTCTCACTGTGTGCTGGGCCCCAGGCTGTCCATTCAGATTTCATACAAGACTTAACTCCAAAGACCTCTTGGTAGTTTTCAAATATCAAATTCATCTTTCAAGGGAAGATTTGATAGTAGGGAGAATTTTCTAAATATAATAACAACAATTCCAAAAGAGCATTTGTTGCAAAGCCTTTGTGTCCAGCAGCCTTGGTGTTCAAGGAAGCAGATAGCTCCCAAAAGCAGCAAGGATGGAGGAGACCACAACGAGGAGTGATGTAGGTGTGTAGGTTCTGATGTGTTTGTAGTAACACACACACACAGGCGCTCAAATTTTATACTCACTGTGGATAGATAATAAGACAGGCATGGAAATGTACTCAGGGTTTTGGAAAGGAAAATTCAACTGCCACTCAGACAGTTCATGGTTGCTATTTCACCTTGATGGTGATGAAAAATGGAGTGCACTTCCACCACCAAGAATCAACGGAACAGATACATTTCTGGAATAAATCTACAACATCTGTAAGGTCATGGCAAAACAACAAGAGAGAGAGAGAGAGAGAGACAGAGAGAGACCCTTAATTTGCACTTCCCACTCTCCTAGCATGTCCCCACACAAATGTTGAGAAAACAACACCATCAGGACACCCTTGTGAACAGAGAAAAAGCACCCCTTTCCCAATCAATTCAGAATCAGGCTTATTTAAAACAACAACATATTTTTTTTCTTAAAAAGAAACTCACTTTTAATTTGAGGTGTTTATAGTTATCTGTTACTAAATATATGGCATTTATTTGCCTTAAATAAAAAAGAAAAATTCTAAGAATTTGGAAAACTAACCAAGTTTAACAACCTGAGATTGGAAAAATACATTCCCAGGAGAGTGCTTCCAAAACTGTCCTGTAGGGGGCACTAGAGAGATATGGTTGAGGCTGACTTGGGAAATCAGTCATTTCTGGTAAAAGTTGTTGGATGCAAGGAATGTCCCAGCCTGGTACAGTTGGCAAAAGTTTACTCTGGGGAAGTGTGTGTGTGTGTGTGTGTGTGTGTGTGTGTGTGTGTGTGTGTGTGTGTGTGTGTGTGTGTGTGATGTCCTAACCTGGTATAGTTGGCAAAAGTTCACTGTGAGGAGTGTGTGTGTGTGTGTGTGTGTGTGTGTAATGTGTGTGTTTGTGCATGTGTGTGCCCCTGTTGAGAGAATGTGGCAGAAGGGGGGAAAAGCTTGTCTGATGTTCCTTGATTCCAAAAGGAAATAGTCTTGACTTATTCTCACAAGTCATCTAGAAACAGATAAGCAGCCTTGGAAAAGTTCCGTGTCTTGTTTTGTTTTGTTCATTTAAAGGGGGTCTGGCTGATGAAAACAAGTTATGAAATGACCTCTGTTTGTGTAACTGGGTGGATTGTGTAATCTCAGCGCCCTGAAACCGTAACAGCCAAGGAGCAAGGCACAGCATATATCTGGAGGTGTTAAGCTTGGAAAGCCAGGAGAAGGAAAATAACAAAGTGAACTCTAGGAGGGGAGGTATATACAACTATCCCCAAGAAAATTAAATTGCTAGTGATTAACCTTTGAGATTGAGATTATAGCTGCAACAGGAAATATTTTTCATGTTTCAAGTTCCTGCCATATACACAGGCAGAGATTTTTTTTTAACAAAGAGCTTTATGCCTCCCACCCCACAAGTCAGTGGAGCTCAGTGCTAAGACCAGGCTTTATGTGTGTTGGAGGGGGGGGTGGAGTTTGGGGCTGGTTAAACAGCAAATTTATGGGGATACAAGATCCCACAAACAAGACCAGGAAAAAAATCATCCACTTGCTCAAGGGAACACCAGGGGCATCTCACAATGATTGGTCCATCGTAGTGCCATAAAGCAGGAAGGCCCAGTCACTAACTGCTGGAAAAATTCCCCCGTGAAGGAGATTGAGAGAATAGTTGATTACAGACTTTATCTGGTATGTAATAAAGTTACCTTGAGCCCAGATCAGGGTGGGGTCATAGCACAGACTTGGAAAGGAACAAAAGCCGAGGCCTGTCATTGGAACCACAGAATCTTTTCTGGGTTTTGGAGAAAGCTAGAGCAAGGAAGGGAACAGCCTGCCCCTCCCCCACATCTCACCTACCACACCAGCAAGGAGTGAAGAGGCCATGGTGAGACTTGCCCAAAGTGGCACTACCTTGCCAGTACCTCTGGGTTGAGAGACTTTTTGCTCATGCTACTGAGCAGAATGGGCAGACAGACCTGAGGATCCCATGCACTGGTTGTTGCTAATTGCAAAATCTTCATGTGTTACAGCATGCTAGGAATTAGCCAACAGCTGCTTTTTGCTTCGGTAATGAGGCCCCATTACACACTGCTGGACGGAGCTCCCTTCCTTCGTCCTAGCATTGGTTTCCTGTCTGATTTGCTTCCAAAACAAGGAATTGCCTCTGCTCATATCCTGGGCTCAAAGCCCTAGTGACACAGATTATTCAGTTGGGGCACTGATTAGTGACACAGATTATTCAGTTGGGGCACTGATGTCCGGTCTGACTTCCCATCCAGGCCCCAGAGTCTGAGCCAAGCACCAGGCAGGGGGATTGCACTGTGTCTCTGGTCACTGCTCCATCTCATTAGTGAAAGAAACAGAAATGCAAAGCTCCTATGTTGGCTGGGGAAGGAGAGGGATGTGGGGTGGGGTTATTGAACTGGAAAGTCCAGGGACAGGTATAAATGTCTCTAATGATGTTCTGGTTCAACACAAATCACCCACAGAGCTGGGATGCAAAACATAATCAGTGACTTTTCAAATAAGCCTTAAAAGGAATCGCTTCAGTAGTAAGGGTCCATTGACTGCAACCTCAGTGAAGACCAGGCTCTCTACAGTAGGTGCTTAGCAGGTATTGAGGAGTTAGAGAGAAGACACAGAAAAGCCATTTAGAGGAACTCTCACCTGACATGGGACATTATTTGGGAGGGGTGTCCCTCTTTTTCGGATTACAAAGAAATGTATATTTTTATTATTTATTTATTCCCAGCTCAGTTCATCTTTCCTGGAAGCGCCCCCACCCCCCAACCTCCTATCGGGTTGACTGCTGGAAGCCAAGGCCATAACCATGGCCTTATGGAGTAACCCACGCTTCAGCCAACTTGGCTAGGAACTCCAGAGGGCTTCGGGTGGCAGAGAACCTTGTGAGTTCATGCAGTTCCCTCGTGAGACAGTGTGTGTGCTGCTACAGAAGTCAGGTACCCCACCAGTACCCATTTGGTATCCTATAGACAGAGCACAAGCAGAAAGAATCCCTCCAATGGAAACCAGTCTGCCTGCTTTAGAAACAAGTTGTTTTTCTACTTCTAAAACCACTACTCAGGAGCCCAAGTGATGCCTCGCTCTCCCAATTCGTTCTCCCCGCTTCCTTGCCCCAGGTACCCCCAAGCCCCTCCAGGTTCTGCAGGACAGTACAGGTTCCTGCCCAACCCTCACCGGAAGCAGGGGGGGGTGAGCACAAGAGGTGTCAAGAGCCAATCAAAGCCAGCTTCATCCTTCCTGACCTTCGCACCTGATTCCCAGAGGCAACCCTAGCCCTCCTGAGGGATTACTTGAAGGAGCCCAACCGTATTTCTGAGTCCCCAACCCTTTTCAGAAAACAGCTAAGACTGAAAGAAAACAGAAGAAGAAAGGGCTAAAAGGCCTTCGTTGTAGTGTCTGACGGTTGGGAGGGAGCTTAGGGGCCCAAAGATTTCCTTGCCTATCCACCACCGAGAAAGGGGAAGGTGGGAAAAGGAGGGGAGAGCTCTCGGAAGGAGGTAACGGGCCTCCAAGAGGGGACCTGCCATTCCAGAAGGGTTTCTGAAAAATAAAGTAAGAGAAGCCGCGGGTGGGGGATGTTATTGGCTCTTCGAGCCCACTCTCCGCTTGTTTAAAAAAAAAAGCGGTGGGGTGGGGGTGGGTGGGGCGGAACAGAACAAAAACCCACAACTTAACAACGGTGGCCCCTGTGTATTTTTCTAGCTCAGCCAAGAAAGGGTAAAGACGGAGGTTGGGGGTGAAGGTAGTGGGATCTAGAAGAGGGCAGGAGTCTGCCCGTGCCGCCAGGTGCACCCGGGCCCGCACGTACCTGCTGGCCGCCGCCACCGCTGGAGTAGGACTCGGCGTGCGCAGGAGAGCCGCTGCTGCCCCGGGACGAGGTGTCAAAGTTCCCGGGATAATCCTGGTACATGATCCGCGGTGGGGGCCGGAGAGGAAACAGGGTGGTTTTCTTCCCCGCCCTCGCCGCGGTCGCGCAGTCTGCTGCGCGCTCGCTGGTCCACCGGCCCCACCGCGGGCTGGGTTCTTCGCTCCGGGGCTGTCCCCCAACCGAGGCAGACGGGGAGGCGGCGACACTCGGAAAGTGACCCCCCGATCGCCGCGCACCGCACTTCGTTTCTGCTCTTCAAGCTCCGCGGAACCGGTTGTCCACCGGGTCCCTCCCTCTAAAAAGTCGGCGCGTCCCTCGGTCCCTCCCCTGCGCGCGCCCTTCCGCCCCCGCGCGCAGCCGGAGCTCCACCGGGACCCAAGGACTGAATCAAAAATGGGCAACGCAAAAAGACTAGGAGCCCAGCGGGCGTCGCTTGGCAGCTCTTGGGGACTCCCTCCCCAATCTTACAGGGCGCCAAAAAGGCGAAAAAGAAAAGCTGCCGGTTGGGAGAAACTTCTGTTTCCTCCGTTTAGAAAAGGAGCCCGAGAATAAACTTCCTGTGGCCAACTCGCCGCCTGAGTTTCCCGGCGACTCGGACACTTGACTTAGGACAAGGCAGAGAGTGCCGGTCCAGCGGTCCCGATCGCGCCGGCGGGGCAGTACCCGTGGGGTTCCAGGCTGAGCGGTTGCTGACAGGGACGTAGCTTCGCGTCGCAGTGACCTGCACCCGGCGTCCGCTCCGGGACGGGCCGGCCTCGCGCGTCTTGCCTCGCTTCGCCCTCCCTCTCTCTCCCTTTCTAGCGCGCTCTCCCTCTTTCTCTCTCACAGTCCCTGCCGAGCACCGCTCGCTGTCTCGCTCCAAGCCCCAGCGCTCTGCCCGAGATGAGTCACTACAATGGCACGAGTTCAACTCCACACTCTTTATTCTCCAGCCCCGCACCATGTGGATCGACTCACGTCAACCCTAGACTCCACCTTGCTGGGAGGAGCGCTCGAGGCGGCGTGGGAGGAGGCCGGGGACCAGGAGGAGGAGGAAGAGGCGCGGGAGGGGAGGAGGCGGGAGCGGCGCTCCCTTCCCGGCCCTGCTCGCGGTCGCGCTGACGCCAGCCGCACACCCCGCGCTAGGAAGGCGGGCGGTGGTGAGGGTGGGAGCGCGCGGCCCTGGCACTTTGGGGGCGCCGAGGCCTCTTGGGTTCTTGCCGATCTCCTCCACCCCCCCCCCGGGGCGCAGCGCCCTTGGTCTGTTCCATTGGCGCAAGTTGCCAAAGATGGTCATTTGCGTTAGAGGACGCGAGTGCGGGTTTCCTCGCTTTCGGGTGACGTGGAGGGAGAGGGATTCCCTTGCCCGCTCACAAGCATGCCCCCCCATCCCCACTCCAAAAGAAAGGGGCGCGGGGCGGGGCCCCAAAAGCGGCTGCAAGGGCTCAGGGTCGGGGTTTTAGAAAACAATCGTAGCCCTGAAGCCGAGACGGGTGGCTCAGTGCGGCGCCACCGCGAGGCCGAGAGCCTGGCGCACAGAGCCGCTCGCGGGGAGGGCGCGGCCGTGAGCAGTCGTCCGCACCCTCGGCGGCGCCGCCCGGTACAGCGGGCGTCCTGGACGCACCGGGCACCCGCGCAGCCCTGCAGTCAGTCGGGTCCTGGCGGGGTGCGGCAAGGCGCCGCCAGGCGGGGCTGGCCTGCCCCTTTTCCCCTCGAAGCCTGGCTACCCACTGCTTCCCTTTTGTATGTGTGTGCGCTTGGTTTTTTTTTATTGTTTGTTTGGTTGGTTTTTTGTTTTGTTTTTTTTTTTTTTATTTTGGTCTTCCAATTAATTTGCTAGGAGAGTTATTGAAGATGAAATTAGCTAGAGAGACATCTCAGGAGTCCTCTGTGCTAGACAATTAGGACACATGCATCTAATGGCAATAACCAGCCTTAAAAGCAAACCAAGCTGTTCAAACAAACAAACTAGGGGCCGAGAGGTGTGCCCCAAGTTGCCTTGAGCTGTTTTGGAGCAAAGTTCAGGGCACGCGTGGCCGGATTCCTAGCTCTTCCCGCCTTGATGGGCGGGGGTGGTGCGCAGGGTAAAGAGCGCAGGCCTTGGAGTATGAATGCCTGGCCATGCTATTTACGAGCTGTGAGATCTTGGGCAAGTCTAGAGTCTCAATTTCCTTCTGTATAATGAAAGGTTTGGAGCGAACGACCTTCTAAAGCTCTTGTTTGCTCCGGACCTTCAATCATCCTAAAATACCATGTGTACTGATAAATGTTGTACCAGGAATTGAACGTTTTCTTTTGAGGCAGGGTCTCGGGTAGCACAGGCTGTCCCCGAACTCGGTTTATGCCTTAGATAAGCCTCCATCTCCCGAGTGCTTAAGCAGTGCATCTGTATCCTAAAGATCTTTTTGAGGAGTGACTAGGAAGATGAGTTGTTGGGGGTTCACTGAGGATTTTGAAACGCCACGCATATGCTATTCACATCCCAGGACCAGTCCTCAGTTTCCTTATCTGTGAAGTGGGGGCGTAACTAAGGAAAGAAAACTAAGAACCGGGAACTCGACGCTTTCCCGGGGCTCTATATAAAGCTCTGGCGTTTCCGGGACGGCTGGCGGCATCTGGCCGCCCCATGGGCCCCAAGATACGGTAATCCCAAACAATACTCGGGGTCATTGTTTACAGTTATAAAACACATTCTGTCCCAAGCTCCATCCCCAAGGACTTGGCGCGCGTGGGGAGCTGAGGTGGCCAGACTCCTCGCATTTCTACAGCTGCTCTCCCAGCAGAGTGCAGTTCTGCAGGCCCGCGAATGGGGTGCGGGGCAGGCGTTCACACACGCATCAGCCGTGGGTTCCTGGCTTCCACCCCCCTTCATCCCTGCGTCCTGGCCTGCCTGGGTGTTTACGCGCCTCTCTCAGCAGGACTGAGTAAATGCAGTCCTTTGACGCAAAACGGATCAGCCCTTCCTCAGCAGCAGCAGCAAACCCCAGAAAACTGGGGGTGGAGACGGGGGCAGGTCCCAGAAAAAAATCGTGACACTTTCCCACTCGCCTCGCCCTGTGCTGTGCAAACCCTCGATCGCCCTAGGGAAATCTTGGTGGTGGTGGGGGGGGGTGAGCAACTGGGGGCGCGGCAGGGGTGCGTAGGGGCCTCCCCAAGGAACCGCATGTCACAGTAGCACAAATAGACGTACTTTTGGTTTTCCTTTGAGCCCGACCGGCTGTCCAGCCCTCCCCCCCCCCCCCGCCCCGGCCCGCACTCAACAATCGTGTGCTTCTGGGTCTCTCCCCCACAGTCCTTCCAGTAACGCGGGGTCGGGGAGGGGGGGAGAACAGGAGCTTCCTCCAAGGCCTCCGCCGTCCCAGGCGCGCCCAGCCACCAGCAGGCGCCGCCGGGAGCGCGCCTTCGGGCCAGCGCAACCTCGCGCCCTCGCCCGCCCCCGCCCGGACCCGCTTCCCCGGTCCTTTCCTTTCTTGTGGCTTCCCGTAAAGCCCAGCAGCCCCCAGACGTCTGCAGAGCATCACGGAATCTGTGCTGATGCAAGTCGCCGGCCTCCCTTTGGTGCGCCCCGGCCTGCCTGCAAGAGCTTTGATCCCTGACTGGCCCTGCTCCCGAACGTGTGCTGTTTTCCAGTGCCTGCCTGTAGACCCGCGTTCCACAGCCTAGACCACCTTTCAGACTTGTGGCACCAGAGGCAGAGCTGCGTCCCGGTGCTGCCCCGGGATTGGACTCCCTCAATTCAATGGATGCCTGATTTTTGCCTTATCGAAACCCAGTACGGCGCCTACGTGGGAAGACATCCCCGGAGGCACGCAGTTAGGAAGGGCCTGGAGAAAGATGTTAAGAACAGGGATTAAGCCCCAGTGTCTCCAATCTTAAGGAAACAGATACTGTATCCTGTAATCCTCACAACAAACATTTGAGGCGGCTCTCATTCCCAGGTGTCAGTTCAGGAAAGTAATGCTAAATAACTCGTCCAAGGGAGTGCAGCCGGACTCTTGACAGATTCTGCCTGGTCCCTCTGCCCCAGCATTACCTGCCTCCTACCCGAACATCTTTCTGGCTTTCTACACATGGACTTCATTTGTTTATGACTTTAACTGACGCTTAAAAGTGCTCATTCTTTTTCTTCTAAGTAAATATATGGAGTGAGGGAAGGGAGGAGGTGAGGGGAAAAAATAACCCCTGGGGATTTTTCATTGCCACTATGGGTGTGTGGACACCCCCTCCTCCCAACACCCACCTGTTTCCTTGTTTGCCTATCCAGATGCCTTGGATCTTAGAATGGTTGTTCCTCTGCCCCCGCCCCCCCCCAAACACTGGCCCACCCATCAGAGCACTGAGCACTTAGTGAAGACTTTTCTCATGTATGGCTTAACTTGTCTTACAATATCCCCAGGAGATGGCACGGACAACTGTTGGCCAGAGTGGGGGTTGTCGAAGCAAAGCCAAAGAGTAAAATAGCAAAGCAGTCTCCTCAGTAGTCTGTGGATGATTTTGAACACAAAGCTATCTCATAGGACCTTAACCCAGTGTTCTGCCAACCTTGACAGTCAACAGAGTCTACTCCTTGGTGAGAAACCCACCCTCCTACACTGCTGGGAGGAATCTGCAATCATAACTTTATAGTAAACAATGCATTTAGGTGATGTCTTAACATCACTGAGAGCATTTCAGTTTGAAGCCTGAGTCTGGGTTCTTACTGCTGCTATAAAATACCACAACCAAATGCAGCTTGGAGAGGAAAGGGTTTGGTTTGCTTACTCTTTCATATCATAGGAGGTCCTGGCAGGAACCCAAGGCAGGAACCAGGAGGCAGGAACTGAAGCAGAGGCCTAGGAAGAATGCTGCTTAGTGGCTTGCTCCCTACTTGGACTGTTTTCCTATATGGTCCAGGACACCTGTCCTGGGTGGCATGGCTCCCAGTATACGGGGCCCTTCCACACCAGTCTTTAATCTAAAGAATGCATTACAGATTTGCCTCCAGGCAATCCAATAAACATTTCTAAATTGATCTAAATTGAGGTTCCTCTTCCAAGTAACTCTTAACTCTAGCTTGTGTCCAAAAAAAAAAAAAAAAAAAAGCAAACCCCAGGACAATCCGTTTCCTAAGGACCTACCCATAAATCCATCAGGGGGCCATCAGCAAGCAGATTTCAGCTTAGATGGTTCAGATAGAATGGTCATTGTGTGGAGCTCCTGGAGCAGGGGTGAGGGTGAGGGGATGAGGGGGTGTAGGTGAAAAAACAAGGAACTTGATATATCTAGTATCTGGCAATAGCTGGAAACAGACCACCAGTAGAATTGCAGGAGGGTGGAGAGAAATGCCCACCTTAAACTGTTCAGAGCCGCTAATCCTGAAGGGGTGTATTTGTTTTTTCAAGTATGGGATTCCAGGAAAGGCTCAGAACTGCTATTGCTTCAAAGGGACCTTCAAGGGTGTGGGAGTGGGGTGCTGAGTGAACAAGACAGATTTCCTTCTGTGGTCATGCACCACCTTCTTGAGAACTCAAAGAACACTTGCAGCATCATATGTATTCTGAGATAGGACATATACACTTCTCCCAACATATACTGGAGATCTACAGTAATTGTAAGCTATGAAGACAAAAACTAGCAGGGTGACACACCTATAATCTCAGTGCTTTGGAGGTGAATGCAGGAGATCCAGAGTTCAAGGTCATCTTATCTACACAGTGAGTTGAAG